ATATATATATATATATATATATATATATATATAATTATTATTATTGTTATAACACATCATCTCCCACAAACCCCCTCAGTGTTACAACTAGAACAAACTGAATATGAAGTTCATGACTTATTCTTTCAAGTAATTTCATTCAGGTAAACAATAACAGAGAAGGACTTGGAAACCCCTTCAACATTACTCTTATAACTGGCATTTTATCTTTGGAGATATTTATTTCCAGACTAGAGGCCTGTACCGAACTGGTATCACAACTTACCTGAAATGTTAAACTAAAGTGGCACAAATTAGAATCAAATGGAAAGTACCAAAGATTCGGAATGCATGGGTACTCAGCCTGATACTCAGAGTATAACTGGAAAGCATTTCTGTCTCCACTATACTCCACGTCTGCGAATAAAATTAAGATTTTATATTAAACAAACACTGGAGATTATATATTCTTGCATTTTACGTCGTATTTCATATTATAAACCGAAAAACTATAAAGGTTTTTATGATAAAAATTAATCTTACTTTGGGAATGAAGGCTTCCATCACGTAAACCGCCACTTCTAACAACAGTTAATGAAGGTTTCTGATATCCATGACGATAGCTAAGTTGAGTTGCATAATTCTCAGATCTGACACCACCAATGTGAGGCTTCCAAATGGAAGAGTTGATATGTAGTGGGGTGTCTGGTGAGCGGAGATTATAGAAACCCACTCTAGGGTCAAACCACTGTATTGTCACAGTTACGAATGCTGATTGCATGGGACTCTGTAATGACATACCATCGATTTCGATATGATGAACACCCAGAAGCATAAAAAAGGTGACATTAGCATCCAGAGGTGGTGGAGGGAGGTGTGCCATTACCGGGAACTTTAGCAACTTATCAGGACATCCCATCTCGTCACTTCCATCAGGACAGTCTTTCTGAAAATTGCACCGAACATTCCATGGAAAACAGTGTAGGCCATCTTGGCAGGCAAAATTATGTTCATCACATAATGACAATAACATAACCTCTGTTGATGTGCATTCTGTAAAATTTTCAAAGTTCCAAGCATGCAGGCCTATTGGAAGCAAACTACTCAGCACATTTATCGACTTTTCAAGCTCTCCAATATCATCAGGATTACCAGACTCTTTCATATACCAGTTTCCTCTTTGTCTAGAGTTCCAGTATATTTCTGTTCCAAGAAGCCCTCTCAGCTTGGGTTGTTCGTTTTCATCATATGTAAAAGTGAACTGGCGATCGACAATTGCTTTGCAGCCGCCCCTAAGTGTTAAATGAGGATTTGTAATGAGCTCGCATGCAGCACACAGTTTTTCATCACACGGTGTACTTGCCCAAGTATTTGAATTGCTAGGTTTCAGAGATATACATTGTGTATTCTGTATATTGCGGTTTCTTCTCATAACTACACTCCAGGATCCATTGTCATAAATTTCATATGCATCAATCCAAAGCCAAGATCCATAGATATTCAGACAAGCCTGAATATTATCTTTAAAACTCTTCTCTAGTTCTCTACTTTCCATGGTCGATTCAGGATACGCTAAATGGCCTCCTAAGTTATGGCATATACCCTTAGAAACATTATGCTCGTGTCTTCCAGGCAGCATAAAGATCCAAGAGGGCTGATTGCAGAAGGTGGTGGCATTGACTTCTGTGTCATTCACATTATCTCCTTTTGCAGTCCATTGAGTAAGATCGACAGGAATATTTATGCCGAGGAGAGACGACCCAAAGACCACGTCGCAATCACTGATAAAATCAATCATGTCCTGACCTAAAAGAGCTTGTTCTAAAAGAGTAAATCTTGCTATGGATCCACGAAAGGCTTCTGTTAATCCTCCACCATGCTGACGTTGAAGCCGCCCAATAATCATTATACCTTTGTCATCCACTGTTGGATTTTCTCCTAATACATTCAATGAGCCTGAAATTACATATATTTCTGAAGAATATTAGAGTTTTTACACAAAAGGCTAAATATTGTAATTCTTAATGTAAGGAATAAGATTCGTGCTGTATGACGTGTGAGTAATAAATGTCGTTTGGCATATATTATGCTTTACATAAACTTCTCTGATTACATATGCATGCATCTGAAGATATAGCTAACATGTAAGAATGGGTAAGCTCATGAAAATAGTGATTTTTCTTATATTTTAAAATTATTTCATAGCGTCGAGGCAACCCTTGGAAGTTAATACCAATTAAAGGACAATATTGTTTACCGACTTTTCAGGGAGAGGATAGTGGCATCTCTAACAGGGTAACCATATTAAGTCAACAATCTTAGTGAATACCCTAATTGCATTTACTCATCGCAAACACAAAGTATTAAATAAGTAAAATTCTTAATACCAAATGCGAAATAAGTTTCGCATCCCCTACAGTCACACTAGAAACTATAATATATATTTGCTACAAAGGAGCCCTTAATTAAAATTCAACGAAGAATTTAACTCACCTCCTCCGTAATGTCCACGATGTGAGATCTGATAGGTTTTGCGCTGAAGATTGACAGCAAGACACAGAGAATCCCATCTCAAAAGAATCAAACGATTTTGTAATTTGATCCGCTTAGAAACACGAAAATTGCAACACTGAAAATCCACTTCTGTAGCATTCCAGTCAAGTACTGCCAATAAAGTAAATGTGATATGTAAAAACTCATTAGTCTAGAAATAAGGTGTATGGATGTGTGTGATTACCTAATTGTGATTACCTCATTGTGCTTACGGGAAAGAGCCCCAAGCTCGTATCTTCCCGTCTCCTGATCGGTTCCATTTTGTACTGTGTGTGTGTGTGTGTGTGTGTGTGTGTGTGTGTGTGTGTGTGTGTGTGTGTGTGTGTGTGTGTGTGTGTCTAAAATTACCTAATTGTGCTTGCGGGAGAGAGCACTATGCTCGTGACTCTCCGTCTACTGGTCTTTTCTATTTTTGAACTCAATGACACATCATATTTTTTCTTAAAACTATAAGTTCATTTAGTATTTACTACTTCCTCGCTTAGCGAATTCCAATAATCAACTACTCTCACAGTTAAATAGTACTGTTCTACATAAAGCAATGAAGTTTTCTTACGTTGCCTCAAAGTATGACCTCTAGCTCAAGAGCCAGCCATATTAAAATATCGATCCCAATCTCCTCTATCGAAACCTTAAAGGAATTTTAACATCATCAATAAATCTTTCCTCAATCTTCTAGCTTCAAGTGATGGTAAGTCTAATTCCTTCAGCCTCTCCTCGTACCTGAGATTGCATATTTTGTCATCAGAGCCGTAGATTGTCTTCGAGAATTTTCCAGTTTACATATATGCTTTTTCAAGTTTGGATTCCAAAAGGGGGCTGCATATTCAAACTTTGGCCTTACATAAGTTACATAAATATTTCTGAACACTTCCTTGTCCTTTTTCTCAAAACCATCCTTGCATTTGCTGAGAAGCATATACTTCCCCTACTATTCCAGTTAAGTGCATTTCAGGAGACATATCTGCCAGTATGCTTACTCCCAGATCCCTCTCATTCTCCGTCTCTTATAGTTATGCTCCTCCTATTGAGTATCCAAGCTTGGGCCTTCTTTCACTTGTACCTATTCTCATTACCTTACATCTTGAAGCACTGAAGTTCTTTAGCCACTTTCTGACCACTCCTACAGACTATTTAGGTATTCCTGAAATACCCTACCATTGTTCTCGTCTTTTACTTTCTTCACAATCTTTGCATCATCTGAAAACATATTCAGAAATGAATATACAGACACTGGTAGGCTATTTACGTATACAAGGAACAAATGTGGCCTTAAAACTGAACCCTGTGTAACCCAACTTTTAACCCTTCTTCGGCCAGACAATGAGTGTCTTACTCTAACCCCCTGTTCCCTTCTTTTTTTTAGTAAGTTTTTACCATTGCAAGACATTTCCACCTAATCTTGCCATTACTTGAAGCTTCTCAATAAGTTTCCCACGTGGAACCATTTCAAATGCCTTCTGAAAATCTAAGAGTATGCAATCCACATAGTGCTCTCTTTCTTGTAAGATATGGCCTACCTCATCATAAAATTCTGATATATTTGTTACTGTCGATCTGTCTTCTCTGAAGCCATACTGTCTCACTAACAAAATGTTGAAGGACTCCAAGTAAAAGGATATTCGTTTTCTTGGTAGTTTCTCCATAAATTTGCAAACTATCCCGGACAAGGAAACAGGCCTACAGTTAAGAGCTGTATCTCTCCTTCCCTTATTGAAGATAGGTACCGCGTTCGCTTGATGCCAGCATCTTGGAATCTCCCTAGATTCCAGCGACTTTTCAAATATGATGCATAGCAACACCGATATTGATTTAGCACATTTCTTAATCACGGAAGGGATATGTCATCAGGAGCCTTAGCTTTATGGGTATCTAACTCCATCAACGCTTCGGATACCTCTATAGCTGAAGTGTGTGTGTTTGTATGTGATAATTTTAGTCCAAGAAAATTTTGTCAAAAGTCAATATTATTATCTTACCTCGAAAGAAAATTTAGTTAGTGAGTACTTGCAATTTAAACAAATTATCAAAGCCAGATCTCTTTTACTATTTTTTTTTTCAAATCGAAAATGTTCGCCAGTTCATATTTGTCTAATTTCCTTTCGAAGGTTATATATATATATATATATATATATATATATATATATATATATATATATATATATATATATATACATATACATATACATATACATATATATATATATATATATATATATATATATATATATATATATATATATATATATATATATATATATATATATATATATATATATATATATATATAGATATAGATATAGATATATATATATATATATATATATATATATATATATATATATATATATATATATATATATATATAAATATATATATATATATATATATATATATATATATATATATAAATATATATATATATATATATATATATATATATATATATATATATATATAAATTTTTGCCCTCCGGCAAGGATTCGAACCTAAGACACAAAATCATTGCGCTGAGGTGTTACCAACTGTACTACCGAAGGCATAAGAGAAGAGATAATCATCTGACTGTTGGAGCTAGAGTATGAAAACATTCTACTTAATGCCAAAGTCCATTTTCCTCTCTCTTCCCAACTTCACTGAAGGTAAAGGTTAAAGATCTGCTATGAATGGCAGAGGCAAGTGACTGAAAGCACTAGAGCCCAACTAAACATCTTCCTCGCAGCCGGGGCCCAAGCCCCCTCTCCAATTATGAGGACCCAGTGATCCCCAGGCAATGCAGACCTAGAGGAAATTGCCGACCTCAAATAAAAAAAAAATTACACCATACATACAATTAAAACAACTATGTTAGCTGTGTCCGAAATAGCATAATTTAAGAGTACTATAATAATTTTGAATATCTATATTGCATGTAAGGCATTAGATACATGACTGAGATTCGCGTGATTCAGACTTTGATAAATGAAAGATTAGACTTCATTGCTGTGCCAAGGACAGAGAAAAGACTTTATTATAATGTTTGAAGGTCGAATAATATTCTAAGGTCGCAGTATTAATTTGTGAATGTCAAGAATGTATTACAAACACAGTCACTGATATAATCTTGTCAGTCATGCATACCTCATTAATTAAACTACATTTGTGTTCAGATTATACAAAATATCGAATACCGCCAGTTATATATACAAGTGATTGTTATTATCTTGACTATCATAATCAACGTATTATGAGGGTCTACGTAGAAGTATTGCAACTTCACTGCCACATATATCTACACATAATAATTGTCATGATCTAATGAGAAATATTTAATGTAACACAAATATTTAAGGCCAAGTCTATAACCTTGGGTTGTGAAAAAATGGAAAGCGTATAAAGATGCTTTTTTTTTTTGTACTGTGTAGATACACAAACACACACACACTCATTGTAAGAGTAGTTGATAATTTGAATCCGCTAAGCGAGGAGGTAGTTAATGCTATCTCAATCCATAGTTTTAAGGACAGGTATGATAAGTATCACTAAGTATAAAATGGAACCGATCAGGAGACGGGAAGACACGAGCTTTGGGCTCCTTCCCGTAAACACAATTAGGTAATAACAATTAGGTAATCACACGCACACACACACAGTAATCAAAAAAATGAAAGTCATTGTGATGGAAAGGGCAAATCCACTGATAAAACAGGCACTTGATAAAGAGGAGACAGTGGTAATCTCAGGCATAAACGAATCCCAGGAGCCAACATGGCAGGGGAGATGAAGAAAATAAAGCTAGGGTTGTGGACCTGATAAGAAAGCTTGGAGTAGTTTGTGGTCCTGAGGATATTGTAAACATTCACCAACTAGGCAAATATTCGAGGGAAGGAAAGCCTAGACCAACAAAAGTAACCTTTGAGAGAGGGGAAACATGTAGGGATATATTGATGAGAAAAAAAAGTCTAAAAGACCATCAAGAATTCAAAGAAGTGTTCATTAGACGATGCAGAACACAGGAAGAGATGGGAAATATCAAAAACTTGTTGCAAGAGGCAAAAGGCTTAAAAGAGGAAAGAAATGAAGAAGAGAAGAAAAATTTTCATTTCAGAGCTCTTCCAGACAAAGGGGAGATATAGAAGATAATGACGGATGATTAGGGGATGGGGCCTCATTAAGATTGTTATAAACCAAAGCTGATGGATTAGCTGGTAAGGCATTAGAATTAAAAGATAGGATTCACAACAGTAAGGCAGATATAGTAGCAATTACAGAGACTAAGTTGAGTGAGGACATAAACAGTGTCACAGCTTTTCCTAAGGGCTTCAGAATATTAAGGGTTGAAATATCTGAGAGGACTGGTGGGGGGATAGCACTGCTCATAAGTGAAAGGATTCAAGTTGAAGAAATAAACTTGGCTATATAAAGTGAGTTCAAGGAATTTCTTGTTGCTTGCATAAATACTGGGTCAGAGAGCATTATAATAACTCTTGTGCATAACCCACCAAGGAACCAAAATAGGCTTGAAGTTTATGAGGAAAGTCATATAGGTACCACTGAAGTCATAAACTCTGTTGTTAACATGGCACAGGAGAGAAAATGTAGGATTTTGATTATGGGAGATTTTAATCACAAACAGATAGATTGGATAAATCTTGACCCACACAGTGGTGAGGACTCATTCAGGGCAAGATTCTTAGATTGCGTACAAGGGAATTTCGTACACCAACATGTAATGGAACCAACGAGGGCCAAGGGTGAGGATGAGCCATCACTACTTGATCTAGTATTCACAGATAATGTGTTGGATATTGAAAAATTGAGTATGAACCACCAATTGGAAAGAGTGACCACTGTGTGTTGTTGATGGAGTATATCATTGAAGATATTCTGCCTGAGAGTAGAGGAACTGAGGATAGGAGGAGGAACTATCCGAAAGGAGATTACATCAAAACGAATGAGCTTTTTGCAATTATTGACTGGAGAACCTTATTTTATAACAAATTTGTACAAGAAATGTATGACATCTTTTGTGAGAAATATGGGAAGATAGTAGATTGCTGCATGCCTGTCACCAAAGTAGGTGTAATTCATGCCAGAGAGAAATGGTTCGTTAATAAGTGTAAAAGAGCTAAGGAGTGGAGAGACAAATGCTGGAAAAGGTATAGGAGGAGAAAAAACATAAATGCCTGGCAAACCTACAAAAGAGAAAGAAATAACTACCTAAGTAAAAGAAGAGAGGCAGAGAGAGACTATGAGAGGGACATCACCAGGAAGGCTAAAGAAAATCCCAAGCTTTTCCACAGCTTTATCAGAGGAAAACTGAAGGTAAAAGAACATGTTTTTAGGCTTAAGACAGCGGATGGAAGCATCACTGAGACGGATGAAGAGATCTGCAAAGAACTGAACAAGGAGTGTCAGTCAGTATTTACAACAGAAAATACCCCACCCCCTCAGATTGCAGAGATAGAAGCTCAAGGGCCGGTATTAGAGAACATCAACCTTACAGCCACAGAGGTATGCAAAGCACTGATAGAGTTAGATGTTCATAAAGCTGCAGGTCCTGATGACATATCCCCTCATGTACTTAAAAAATCCGCAAACTCAATATCAGTGGCACTAATTATCATATTTAAAAAGTCACTGGAGTCAGGGGAGATTCCAACATGCTGGTAACAAGCAAACGTGATTCCTATCTTCAAAAAGGGAAGGGGGGATATGGCTCTGAACAATAGACCAGTTTCCTTGACCAGCATAATTTGCCAGGTTATGGAGAAACTACTAAGGAAACATATCTCTCTTCACTTGGAATCCAACTTTTTGTCAGTGAGGCAACATAGCTTCAGAGAAGGTAGATCAACAGTAACAAACTTATTAGAATTTTATGATGATGTAAGCCGAATCTTACAGGAAAGAGAGGGCTGGGCAGATTGCATATTCCTAGACTTCCAGAAAGCATTTGAGACTGTTCCACATGGGAGACTTATTAGGAAGCTGCAAGCAATGGCTAGAATAGGTGGAAGTGTCTTGGATTGGATAAGAACTTACTTAGAAGGAAGGGAACAGAGGGTTAGAGTAAGACACTCAGTGTCTGAATGGAGAAGAGTTAGTAGTGGAGTTCCACAGGGTTCAGTTTTAGGGCCACTTTTGTTCCTTGTATATGTAAATGACTTACCAGAGTCTGTAAATTCTTTCAAGAATATGTTTGCAGATGATGCAAATATCGTGAAGAAAGTAGGAAACGAGAACAATGGTAGAGAACTTCAGAAAGATCTAATTAGTCTGCATGAATGGTTAGAAAAGTGGCTAATAAAATTCAATGCTCCACAATGCGAGATAATGAGAATGGGTACAAGTGCAAGAAGGCCCAAGCTTGACTATTCGGTGGCAGGAGTACAACTTCAAGAGACAGAAAATGAGAGCTCTAGGAGTAAACATACTGGCAGATTTGTCTCCAGAAATATATATAAATAGCATAGTAAGGACAGCATATGCATTCTTATCAAATGTAAGGTTAGCCTTCAGGCACATGGACAAGGAAATGTTCAGAAATATTTATGTAACCTATGTGAGGTCAAAACTTGAATATACAGCCACCTTTTGGAATCCGCACTTGAAAAAGCACATAGCTAAGCTTGAAAAAGTTCAAATATATGCCACGAAACTGGTGCCAGATATACTCAATCTCATTTATGATGAGAGGCTGAGGGCATTAGACTTACCATCACTCGAAGCTAGAAGATTGAGGGGGGATATGGTGACAGTCTTTAAATTCCTTCATGGTTATGATAGAGTGGATAGGGATCGATATTTTGATATGGCAGGCTCTAGAACTAGAGGTCATAGTTTGAAGCTTTGTAAGAAAACTTCTTTGAAGGATGTAAGAAAATACTTTTTCAGTGCAAGAGTAGTTGATAATTGGAGTTCGCTAAGCGAGGAGGTAGATAATGCTATCTCAATCCATAGTTTTATGGACAGGTAAGATAAGTATCAGTAAGTAGAAAATGGAAGCGATCAGGGGACCGGAGATACGATCTTTGGGCTCTTTCCCGTAAACACAATTAGGTAATCACTCTCACACACACACACACACACACACACACACACACACACACACACACACACATATATATATATATATATATATATATATATATATATATATATATATATATATATATATATATATATATATATATATATATATATATATATATATATTATCATTATTATTATTATGAACGTGGCACCAAGATCAGTCGGGATATTGCTCAGGCACCATGTACTGGAACCAACGAATGGCAGGGGTGGACCATCGCTGCTTGATCTAGTATTCACAGACAATGTGTTGGATATTGAAAAAATTGAGTATGAACCACCAATTGGAAAGAGTGACTTACTCTGTGTTGTTGATGGATCATATCATTCAAGATGTTCTGCCTGAGAGTAGAGGCACTAGGAACACGAGGAGGACCTATCCGGAAGGAGGACCTTATTTGACAACAAATCTGTACCAGAAATGTACGACATCTTTTATGAGAAAAATGGGAAGATAGTAGGTTAC